CACACGTTGTTGATCGTTCACGTTGACAGTGTAAATTTTCCACACTAACCAGGCAATGTTAATTTCACATCGATAAAGTGAGAATTATATAAACACCTGTATGGGTGTTCATTCCATACCATTGGTGAGAATTTACATTCATATTTTTTAGAGTGTAACAAAATTGTTCCCGGAAATATTATTTTGCATTAAAACTCATCACAATTCGGTATTTGGTACTCTCGAAATTGAATAAAGTTGAATGAAAAAATTTTGGATTTTATCTGGAGATTACGAAGAATGGGACTTTATTTCTCATATTACATATCTTTCTTAATTTACAAGCTCATTTATAATTCAAACCTCGTTCCAACATGACAGATAATTTTGTTAGATAAAATTATTTTCAAACCGATGAAAATAAATTAGCAAGTAATGAAAAGACAGATTTTACTCCTTAAACTAACAGTAGATATTTTGAAACTAATTATTCGAGGTTTATTTCGAACAGTTACTCATCGAAGTAAGCAGAAAGGTGTTGATACGTAATATGAGTTTAAAATCATTTGTCTTCTACCGGGGATCTCCAAAAAACATCGTGAGAACGTGTAAGTCTCAAAGAATATTAAAGTATCCTATTGTATACGGCTAAATCCTAATCTGTGAAACGTGTCCGCCACTCCCTTGGGAATTTCCAACAACATTATACATGTTTCCTATCTCTTTCAGGCGACGTTCCGGTATTGTTCGACGCGCTTAAAGACACTATTATTCCCGGTATACGTCGCAAGATTGCGCCTCAGTGTTAGCACAATAGAAGTATTGTAAATTCATTAATGGTTGACATTGATTCATTTTATACATTTGCACAAAAGCATCTTGGTTAAATAAAATACTAAAAGAGTGTAAAACATCAATACAGTCACCATAGATACACGATAAAATTAAAATATGTCGAAGATTATCTTAGATGCAAAACAATTTAATATTTAATGTTTTAAATTATTTTGCATTCATTGTAAACAACATTTTTGGGTTTTCTCGGGGGAAAAACAGCTGAGGGCATTGTGGTGTATAGATTTGCGGCATTACTGGGCGTTTTTGGGCATTAGGCCATGCTGGGGTATTGTAAAGATAAAATAAGATATTCAAAAATAAGATAATTCAACATATATATTACAATCTGCTTGAGCGAATTATATAAAGCATTTTGGAAAAAAAATGCAATTAATGTTACGTGCCTGTAGTTGTTTCTGAGTAATTAGAAATACTAGAGACGATGGTTCTACGTTGCTCACTGGATAAATGATTGTTGGCCTATTAGCGCAATGTACACTGAATAAAATTAGATATTAATTTTCTTGCGGTTACATATGGCAAGAACTCAAGATTATGTCTCATAAATTATACATGTCTGTAGTTTACCGAATTTTCTATTGGGTTTTAGAACAAATTTAATATTATTTGTCCTTCGTAAAAAGAACTGATCCTTCTCTTCTGTCTTAACAAGTTTTTAGTATTCAAGTATTAAATATTTCATAGAAATATTATATTCCGAAATATCTAAAATATTCAGAGAAATAAATTTAAAATTATGCTTAAAACATTATTAATTATGAAATAATTTAGTAAAATCTCACTAATCTATATAAATAATGAATAAAATTAAACAGTAAATTGCAAAGATTCGCGTTTATCGGTCTGTCACGCATTCAATGCGAATTTTCATTTTACGCATATTTCCTGTTCTTAGATATTTCTATCATATAGTTTCCTGACTGTTTATCTCCACTAGTCCTCTCTATTTTCATAGATAATTAGCCAGATGCTGGCACAATTGATTACATTATTCCGAATTAATGTCGCTTGGAAACGCATGTCTCGTGCACAACAATACAAAGCATTTTTGCATATTCGTGCCTTGATTATTATCTGCAGGAATGTACAAAATGTTTACTCTCGGTGACATATTAATATATGTATATCAACGATATTGCGAAATGTACTGTTATCGTATTTCCAAGTGAAATTGTATATTTCTCGGAACGACGTTCGCCTCTCGTTTATGTGTACGACGAGTAATTTTACGAAGCACATGCCATTAGACGTTATTATTATGTTTACGAGGCTCCGCTGTGCTCACCGCATTGAATGCGAAATCTGTAAATTCATGGTCGCGAACCAGTAACTGTAAGTTTCTTCGAGAAACGAAACATGTTCACTTGCCATAAACCGATTATTTCAATCTATTGGAGTCACCAAACGAGAGAAAAACAAACAGAAAATGATTAAAAAATAGTTCAAATATTTTTAAACAAACTCCTGATATCAGCATCCTTTGCGTTCTATTTTTTTTCAAAAATTGTAATACAATAAATATTGTTTTTTTTGCAGACACGAAAATATGGTTCGAGCATGGTTGTTGTTTGGCGTTCTGGCGTTGGCCAGTGGTCAGATTATTTATCCAGATCAATATGACAAGATGACGGTTGACCTTGGCGTCGGTCGTGCGTCAATACCCAACGGTTCTCCCGCGTTGCAAGCGGCCAGCAATAGTCAGCCCGTTCAGGTCGATCACCAATTCAACGGAGAACCTGCCCCGCAGTTTGACGCCGCGGGATCAGCAAAAGGACAATTTTACCCCACGACTACCGCTCGCGTACCCCTGTACTCATCAGTAAACCCGACACCCAGCCCGCAACCCATGCCTTGGGGCAATCATGTAAATCATTACTTTGTTATTTGCACGCGCAATCACGATGATTACTATAAATCTCTCATGTGGATTTTTTTTAGTTCTTATTTAAAGTCTAAAGATATTGATGAGTCAAGGAAATGTTTACGCGTCCTTGATCATTCGTGGCATACATCCGTTCTCGCGCATTAATGAAACTGTCGATTTCAGGTGAACGACATTATATCCAGAGGAATCACAAAGTTCGCTCTGGATTTGGATAGAACGATTTCCAAAACCTCGGGCACATCGGTGACTAATCAACCCGAGAATGTGGTCTTTTCTCCGCTCAGTGTATCCGTCGCCTTATCGTTGGTCTTGTTGGGTTCTTCCGGCAAGACCTTCGAGGAGATCACCCGAATGCTCGGCTTAGAGACCGGTGTCGATATATCCCAGCACTCGGAGATCGTTCATCAGATGTTCGGTCAGCTCCTGGCCATCATGAATTACAGGGTTGAAGGTAGCAACTTGCCGCGCGTGAATTCCGCCAGTGGTGTATTCGTCCAGGTAAATTTATATATTCAACAAGTTTATTTCATTATTTGCGTTATATTTATGTCGTGGGATAATTTGCAGTCTAACAAAATATCGGGTTCAAATCCGTTATCTAAGTTTGCTGCAGAGATTTTCACGTAATAATATATGGAATTAATGATATCCTTAAATTACGTAAGTTAATGAAAATAAAAATCGCGGATTAAATTTGAGGGATATAAATAGAAACATTTTTTTTATTTCAATTCAAAGTAAGAACGTGCTTCTAATAGACTTGACGTATTTTTTATTTCTATTCCAGCAAGGATATCCGATTCGACCCGAATTCCGTGCAATCAGCGAGAATGCGTACAATAGCGAAGTGATAAATTTAGATTTTCAAACAAAAGGCAGGGAAGCGCGAGACACAATCAACGCTTGGGTGAAACAACAAACAATGAACAAAATCGATAGTATCTTGAGTCAACAGCCGGATCCATTGACCACCGTGATTCTTGTATCCGCGCTGTATTTCAAAGGTGAATGGGATAAGCATTTCATAGGAACAATGACACGGAGGTACGTGATTTTATTTCGACTGGCGACGATCCTATTTTTATTCTCTTGGTAATCAGCAAAGTTTTTTTGCTTTAGGAAACAATTTTTCATCGAGCCAAATGACACGAGCAAAGTGGTCGAGATAGATATGATGTACAACGGCGGTAATTTTCCCTTTTACGAGGACAAATCGTTGGGTGTTAAAATATTGGCTTTGCCGTACAAAGGCTTAGAGGTAAACATTTAAAAGTATTAGTTACACCGTGGCTCTTTATATACAACAGATTAAGTTTAAATTTACAATATCTTACCTTCAGAATCTTACAAATATTAAATTTATGAAATGTTTTCTTTAATATCTCTTTATATTATTATTAATTTATTATATTAAGAAATATGTGTGAATGTTCTCTTTCAAGTAATACAATTCACGTGGACTTTTTTTATTTCAAGACCTCCATGTACGTGCTTCAACCGAAGGCTGAAGGTGCCGCTGCATTGAAGAGCTTTCAGGAGCAACTGACGCCTGAGACTATTGAGTATCTAATAAGCAATCTGAAAAACGAGACCTGCATCGTCGGCTTTCCCCGTATGAAACTCTCGAGCACACTGAATTTGAACGGAGTGCTTTACAGTCTAGGGCTACACTCATTATTCGATCCAAAGGATGCGGATTTAAGTCTCTTGTCAAATGGATTTGGTCAACCGCCACTACCACCAATTGTGCCGCTTCCGCAAGCGTTGCCCACATCGATCCCGCAAGCGTTGCCCACGTCGATCCCGCAAGCGTTGCCCACGTCGATTCCGCAAGCATTGCCCACAATAAATCTACAACCATTCCCTACGGTCCCAAAAGCATTGCCTACGTCGATTCCACAACCATTCCCTACGTCGATTCCACAACCATTCCCTACGTCGATTCCACAACCATTCCCTACA